TTTTATCAAATTCACTATCTAAATATTAATTAATATTTTTTAATTTTAATATTTTAAAAAGTAATTAATTTTAATATTTTTTTTACCAATTAACATTATATATTTAATAGATAATTTGATTCATTGAATTTTTATTTTAAATAATAATAGTACAAATATTATGTTTTATTTTTAAATAAAAAATAAAAAATTACTTTTTTTATTTGGTTTTTATTTATTATTATATTATAATAAATAAGTATTTCATTATATATGTTATTTATTGTTATTTTATAGCCTTTTATTAATTAAAAATATTTTATTTATTTATTTAATAACTTTCTAATAATTAATCTAAAAAAATATTTTGTTATGTATTATTCTTATAAAAAAATAAATTTGATTTCAATATATCTTTAAAATTATTTTTTTTAATAGAATTATAATATTTTAAAATAATCAAATATAATAATAAAATTAATACGTATTCATAAATAAATATACTAAAAATACTTAAAATAAAAAAACTAAAAATCAAATGGAAGAAAATAATAGGAATAGAAACGAATAAACAGTTTAAAATAATTTTCATTCATTTACTTTCGAAAAAGATATAAATCCGGACACTATAGAAGACCAAAATAATTACTATAAACAACTAAGCTTAGGATTTTACAATTCATATAATAAAACTGATTAATCTGCTAGAAAAATAATCGAATAATCTATATTAGAATATATAAATAGTTAAAAAAAATAATAAATAAGTACTCCTCCTCCTAAAAATAATAATCAAGAAAATATTTTATTTTTCCAGGTTAAATATCTTAGCCTATTGCATTAAAAAAAGTTTTTAAATTAAAAAAAATATCAATTGAAAAACATCAATAATTACCTTAAATTGAATAATAATCTATAGTTTATCCTTCTTTTGATATTGAAAAGGGTTTTAAAGGCTGTTTAAGACATAATTTATATAAATTTATCTAAAAAAGCCCTAAAAAAATGAGGCTTAATGAGATTTTGAGTTAATTAAGTTTAGAAAAAACAGGAAAGAAATAAATAATAAATAAAATATTAGTTTATTAAACATAAATTATTAAAAGCGAAATAAAATAAATAATTTAAAAACAAGTCCAAGGCAATAATTAATTATTTAGGGAATAAAACAATAAATTAATGTAAAAAAAATGATTTTTTTGAATTCACAAATGATTATATAAAAAAATACAATCTTAATGATAAAAGTCCTCCAGTCATAAAATAATAAGAATTATTTGTTTGCGGATAAAGTAGTATTATGAATTATAATAATATGTATTTTTAAAGAAAACTTAAATAATATAAATAATGAAAAATGTTATTATATTCGTTTTATTGTACATATTTTTAAATAAGTACTTTATTTTTATTTATATATAAATATAAAATTATTTAACGATAAAATATTTTATATTTTTTATCTTTGGAAAAAAAAAAAAAGTAGTAAATACTATAAAAAATAATAATATTATATTAAATAGATAAAAATATTTAATTAATTTCTTTATTTATATATATTTTAAATTAAAAATATTTAATATTATATAGACAATCAATTAGTTTTCAATAATTGCTTCAGTCTAAAAACAACAAAATTATGCATTTATATTTATAAATAAATTAATTAAAAGATAATTAAGCTTTTATATGTTATATTAATTATTATTTATTTATAAATTAAATAAAGAATATTTTTATTCTTATTTTTTTTTTAAAAAAAAAAAGATAAACAACAAAAACTAATAATATAAAAAGAAAAATATTATAAATAAATAAATCTAAATTTATATTTAATGTTAGAAAAAATATTAAATAAACATAAATTATTTATAATTATAATAAAAAAGCTATAAAAATAAAAAAAAATGAGATTATTATCACATAATTTACTTTAATGCAATGCCAAAAATTGCACATAAAATAATTTCCCTTTAGCGATAAAAGTAGACAAGTCATAAATTATAAAATGTGAATATAGAAAAGAAGCACTTTAAAAATTAATTCCAAAATTGGATTGGCCAGCTCTAAGTTGTACTGTACATGATGTAAATAACCTTAAAAAAATAAAATAAAAAATTTATTAATAAAAAAAAAAAGCTGGGAGAAAAAAATTTCCCTGACTAATTCACTTAAGATTTAATAGAAAATGAGGATTTTATGAAATAATTACATACAATTATAATGGAAGTAATTATAAATATTATTATTAAAAGTAAAATAATAATTAAATATTTTTTTTTAAAAAAATAAGACTCATATTATTACTGGTAAATTAGTATGCCCGAATTGTTAAAGAAACTACCCTATAGTTAATGGAATTCCAAATATGATTTTAAATGATGATGAAATTTGAATTAATTATTAATAAAAAAATATATATATATATATATTTATTAAAATAAAATATTGTTTTTGTCGATTTTGTTTTGAGTTATTATTAAAAGAAATTAAATATTTTTTTATATAAAAATAATGTATTTTATTACTTACTTATTTAATTTATTTATTAATAATAAAAATAAAAAGTAATTATATTATTTAATAAAAAAGAGTCAAATTAAAAAAATATATAATTTAATTTTTTTATATTATTTTTATATAAATAAACATAAAATTAAATTATATATATATTTTTATATTTTAACTAATAATTTAAATATTAAAATCTTAAATAAAAAAGGAAACTTAAAATAAAATAAATATAAAAATTATATATAAAAAAATATTATTGATATGTTTATTATTAAATAAAAATAATAAATTTTTATATTAAAATAATTTTTAAGATAATTAATATCAATCTACTTTTTATGATGCTTCTTCGAAATTTTCTTATAATTAAGGAATATCATCTTCTTCTCCCTTTTCATATTTTCCTTATTCTTTTGTTTAGAGGATATCTTTTAAATATTCAAGTTATTTAGGTCCTAAATGTTATAAAATATCAGGTAATAAATCTTTTAAGCCTTTTTAAAAAAATAAAATAAACAAATTAAATAAATTTAATTATTAAAATAAAATGTAATTTTACTTTTAGTTTCATGCTATCCAATTATAACGAATGTATTGCTTTGTAAAGAAGCCAAAACTTATATATAAAATAAAAAATAAAATATAATTAACTCTTTTTATAAAAAATTATATATATATATGTTTACCTTCAGGTCTATCAAAATGCATAATATTTTTATCATCTCTGAACATATTTACTTCGTCGATTCCTTAAAATGGTTAAACTCCAAATTTTTTAATTACAGTTTTTAATTTTTTATCATCATTAATTTGGGTTTTTTAAACTTTTTTTATTTTTCTTCTTTAAGTTCCCTTTCCTCCGGTTCTAGAATCGCCTATTTTTTCTTATAATCTTCTTCTTGCTTCTTATACTTCCTTGTCGACTTATGTATTCATTTTTTTTATATTTTTTTGTAAATATATAAATTAAATTTTTCGAAAAATAAAATAAAGATTAATTTTTTTATTTTTTTTTTAAATATAAAAATAAATGACAATGTTAAAAATTAGTATATTTTTATTTTCATTCCCTAAATAAAAATTATATATATTTATACATATATATTTTACATATAAAAAATAAACTTAAAAACTATGCATAATATAAAAAATATAAAGAATGTAAATATAAAAATATAATGAATGTAAATATATTAATAAATAAAAATATAAATATATAAATATATAATTATATAAATATATATATTTATATATAATATATAAAATATTCAATTTCTATAATCTTAAATATGACTATAATTATTATCTGTCTCTCCATAATTATTCATATTTTCATCAATATATTAAGGCGTAGGTTTAAATGCATCTGGAGTAATATCATCGCCTTAATAAGGCAGATTATTTTAATTAGAAAAGTTTAAGAGATTATTAGGTATTTATTAAACGTTTGAAATTGCATCATATGGATCATAATTATAATTATAATTTTCATAATTATTATCTTTTTGCGCTGTACTATATATTTCTTCTTATTAAAACTCTACAGCTTTATAACTATTTTATTTAATTTCATTTAATTAAGGTAAATTTGAATCATTTATATTTTCTTCCATATTCTTATCTAGTTTTTACAAATAATTTGATTTTAATCCTTAATTATTGTTTTAATTAACATATTCCGATTTATAAAGTTATGCTTACCCTTTATCTTAGATATCTTAATCTAATATATTTATATAAAGTAAATCAATAAAAAAAAAATATATTGATTTAACTTAAACGTAATGTTATTGGTGCTCCATCATCACCTATTTCTTAATATTAATTATTTAATTCATTTAAAACAGGTTATGAATTAACATTTATAGTAATTTTGTTATTTTTCCATGAGGATTTTGGTTAATTCTTAATTTAAAAAATAAAAAAAATATATTATTTTAATTTTTATTACATCAATAGGTAAAGTCCAATCATAAGCATAGTCCCAATCATATTTATTTCTATAAAACAGTTCTTTAAACATTTTTCTTAAATGCAAATAATCTATTTTATCATCAAATCTTAAAGACCTACAATAATTCATATAAGTAGAAAATTCAACTTTTATTAAAAAAAATATAAAAATAAATATAATTATAAATATAAATATAAATATATATATATATTAATATATATATTTATATAAAATATATTTTTATAATATTTTTTACTAGGTAATCCTTTTGCTAATATTTCTATTGGTGTTTACATTTTTTTTTCCATAATTTTATTATATTTTTCCTATTTATTTTATGCTTTAATTCCTTACCAAGGTAATGAACCTTTCAATAAATAAACAATTACATATCCAATAGCTTCCATATCATCCCTTCTTGATTATTCAATACCTAAATGTGCACTTAAGCTTGCATATCTTGCAGTTCCTGTTAAATTTTTATTTTCTCTATAAGGAATATGCTATTTTGTTTTGGAATCTAAATATCTTTTTCCTAAACCATAATCAATAATATATATTAAATTTGATTTTTTTCCCAATCCAATTAAAAAATTATCAGGTTTTATATCTCTATGAATGAAACCTGCGTTATGAAAAGATTCGATTCTTGAAATCTTAAATTATTATATACATATTTTTATTTATTAATTAAAAATATACCAATTAATCAACAATCAAAAGAACAGTTTTTAAAGATAATTTTCTTTAACATAAATTAAATAAATCTTCTAATGATGGTCCTAATAAATCAATAACCATTACATTTTTCTATCCTTCTTATCCACAATAATATAATGTAGGAATACCAACTTTATTTTAATTATTTATTAAAATAATAATATTATTAATTACGTTTTCCTTATAAAACTTTAAAAATTTTTGCTTCAAAAGTTAATTGTGGATGTTTTGTTTTGCTATCTTCCTGTAAATATATGTTTAAAATAATTTAAATTAGAATTTTTAATAAAAAAAATTAAAATTAAAAAATTTATGTTTTTAAAATTACCATTTTCACAGCAACCACTTCACCAGTTTCAATATTCGTAGCTATTTTTTATAAAATTAAAAATAAATAAATAAATATTTTAAGGATAAAAATAAAAAAAAGATATTTATATGTAATAATAATATATAGATGAATATGTATTAAATATTAATAAATATATAAATTTATATATATATATATAAAGATATATATATATATATATATTTACCTATATGTATTGAACCGAATGATCCTTATCCAAATTATTATCCAACTTGGTATTTTTAAGCAATCTTTAATCCTATTTCCGTCATTTTTTTATATATATTTTATATTAAAATATTATTTTAAAAGTTAAGTAAATGTTTATTTTAAATATTTAATTTTTTTATAATGATATAAAATATAGTTTTTTTAAAAACATAAATTAAATTTATAAAAAAAAAATTTCAAACTGAATCAACAAAAAAATTAGGCAAACAACCTTTATTTACATAATTTAATTTTAATTTTTCCTCATTAGTTACTCCACTTAGGACAGCTAAAGTATCAATTCCAGCATTTATTCCTAATTAAATATCTGTTTTTAAATTATCCCCTACCATAATAGCTTAAGATTTGTTAATTTTAAATTACGAGCAAGCTAAATCTATCACAAATTAATTTGGTTTTCCAATACAAAAAGGTTATTATTCACATGCAAGACTAATAGAATTCACAATAACCCCATTAGCAGGGAATTTTTTATTTGCAACAATATCATATTTATCACAGTTTGTAGCAATAAATTTAGCTCCATTTTAGATATAAAGGCTTGCAATGACCATTTTAGTGTAGTTAAAATAATTATCTTTTCCAACTATTACACCATTTACATTTTTATCTAAAACAATTTTTTCTAATTCAACATATGAAAGATTTTTGTCTATATTTATATATTAAATTCCATGATAATCTAATTCATCAAATAATCCTTTCATTCCTATTACATAACATTTTTTTATTTCTGGCATTTTATTTTTTATATAAAATGCAGTCAAATATGATGAAGCAAATATTCTATCTTAAGTTGTTTTTATCCCTATTTTTTATAATTTTTCTATATAACCTTTTCTAGAACTTGTACTGTTATTTGTTATAAAAAAGCATTCCTTTTTTTCATTTATTAATGTGTTAAAATTATTAATTGCTTGAATGTTTATTTTTGTGCCGTTCCAGAATACTCCATCCATATCGAAAAAATAATAATTGTATTTATCTTTAATATCAAGAATATTTTTTAGTTTTTTTGGAAACATTTATTTTATATTTAACCCTATTTTATATAAATTAACTTTAATATAAAATAAAAAACTATATATTTAGTTTTATAAAAAATATTAATTTTTTTTTTTTTATATAAAATATAAATTACTAGAATTTGAATGATATAAAATAAATTATAATAAATTAATAAATTATTTTTTATTCATTTTATATTTAAATTTATTCATTTTTTATTATAAATAAACAAATTGAATGATTTAATATATACTCATAATCATTAGTAATTTAAATATATATCATACTTAAATTTTAAGCATAATCTATCTTTATTTATAATAAATGTTTTATTATATTTAAATTTTAAGATTGATGTTAATATATTAAACAAACCATTTTATAATAATATATTTAAGACTAAATTATTAAAAAAGATTTTTTTCAAAACTGAATAGCCTTTAATATCTACTATATGTACAACTTATGATTTAATTTTTTTGCTAAACTTATAATTAAAATATTATTAATTAAATTATAATTATTATAAATATAAATAAATTATTTTTTTCTATATTTGAATTAATTTTTTTTTTGATTATTTAATTTAAATTTTTATATATCTACAATTCAATTAAAATTTATGAATTTAATTAATGAATGATAATCAAATTTATTCAAATTCATAATTTATTTGTTTAAAAATGAAACATATTAACCGAAAAAATAAATACAATTTTATTATAATTCAAATTAAATATAAATTAAAATTAAAAAGTAAAAAATATTTACTTGTTTTTAATAAAATTATAGAAATAACCATAAACTTCATAATTTAATTGTATAATATTAAATAAACGCAACGCTAAATAAATAATAATATATATAAAAAAGGTATTTTATATAAAAAAATATTTATATATTTATTATAATAATTTTATTTTATAATTAATATATATAAGTTTTAATATATAATTAATATTGCTTATTTTTATATTTTTTATATAATTATTGGCATATTTTTTATTTTATTTATAAATTTTAATTCTATATTTATTATCTATTAAACATAATAAAAATTAAAGTCATGATTGAAATACATATATCAAATTTTTATAAAAAAATACCAAATTTAATTATTTCATTTTATTATTAAAAAAAAAAAATGAGATGAAAATGAATAAATTAAATATATTAATTTTAAATAAATTTTTGGCATCAATATAATGTAAATATTGAGTTTTAAAATTAAAAAAATATATATAAATATATTTATATTTTACTAATAACAATTTTTTTATAAAAATGTCATACATTATTTTTTGTATTAATATCCAAATTATCATTACATATTTTAGTATCAAATTAAAACCCATTTTACAAAAAAAGGTTCTGATTCAATTATTATTCATTTAAAATTATTTGATTTTATAAATATTATATTTTTAAATATTTTGAATTATTATGCTCATCTATTCTTTTTTATTAGCTTTCTTCTTAAATTATAGGTTTGCTTTATATATTTTATTATTATTTATCACTGATTTAAATTTATTCTTTTTATTTTTAAAGTTTAATATAATATCTATTTCTAATCATAGTTTCAGTCTTTCCTTTCAGCAATTTTGCTATATATGACCATTATTTCCCATTTTTATATATGAAATTTATAATAGTTTAATCATCTTATTCTGTAAATTTTTAAGTAATGGATTAATTTTTAATATCACATGAACTTTTAAAACCTTCATTTTAACTTGTATTATCTGTTACAATACTATTTTTAAAAGTATTAGTAGAGGAATTATTTACTTTTTAAAATATTATTTTTAATTAAAAATGATATTAATTTTTTAATCATAATATAATAAAAATTAAATACTCGCAAGATGGGGATAATCTAATAAAACACTTTTTTGATTTTCAGACATTTTTATTAAGAAGATGATTTATTTATATAAATTTCTAATATATAATATTTATTTGTTATTATAATATAATATTTTTATTTATAGAGTTAATTTATTTAATTATTAATTAAATAGAAAAAATTTAAAACAAAATAATTACATTTAATAGTCTTAAAAATGTAATTTATTATAAAAAATATTTAGAATATATAATATTAACTTTTAAATATATTTTATATAATATAAAATTAATATAAATACCCTTCTATTGTGTTTATATTTTTCAATATAATTAATAAATAGTTATTAATATATATTCATACATTAAATTTTAATTTAGATAATATAATAATATTTAAAGATATAATATTTAGATAATATATATAATTATTTCTCATATTTTTTTTTCTATATTTTTAATATAAACGTTCTAAAAAAAAGGAAGTTATTGGTTTCTTTTTCTTTTGAGTTTTTTTTTTTAAAAAAAACATAAATATAAAAAGGCAACTGAATAAATAATATATAATATAATTTTTTATTCATATTATTTTATTATTATTTTTTTAAATAAATTTACATAAAAAACCAAAATTAAATTTTTTATTATAATTTTAATAAATTAAATAACAAAATCAGATAAATATATAAATTTTTAGTAATTAAATGCGTATTATTATGTAATTTATTATAATTAATACTATATAATTTTTTTTTACACGTATTATATAAGATTAATAAATATTAATTTTAATTTTAAATTACATATTTAATTTTTACAAAAACAAAAATATAAAATCTATTGATTAAAAGTTTTTTTATAATGATTTTATTATATAATAATAATAATATATAATGGATATTGAGCTTAAAATATAAACTAATAATAATATATAATAAAAGAATTTAAAAAATATAATAATAACTATAAAAAAAAATTCTATATAATAATTTATAAAATAATATAAACTTATCTATAAAATATATTTTATTTAATAATTAAAAAAGAAAATATAAAAAATAAATAAAAATTGTTAACTATAAATTTTTATTTCTATTTTTTTTAAAAAAAATAAAAATAAATAAAAAATGTTATTTTCATTCATCAAAAATTTAAATTAATTTTCTCATACTAATCTTATTTTCTGGTACTTAGCTATTTTTAACAATAAAATCAATAGTACTTTTTAGAGTTTCCAGTGATTTTATATCTATAGTACTTCTATTAATATTTTAAGACCTGAATAAATTTTATTCATTATCATAGCTTTTATTTTATTAATTTGTATACAAAATTTTTATTTGATTTGGTGATTTATAAAATTATTATGTGTATTTTATTTTACTAGAAGTTGTATTAATGCTATGATTCAAATTATTTCCTGTTGTTAATGGAGATTTAAACTCTTTCATTTTCGGAGATTTATATTCATTAATACTATAATACATATTATTATTAAAATTCATATTTTAAGATTTCTTTACAGATTCAATTTAATAATTAGAAGACTCAGATTATTAAGTTTTAAAATTATTTACTGGAAATTACATTTAGCTAATATTTAAAGGCTAATAGTCAGGAATATTTTTTAAATATGGATTATTTGATTACTACTGTTAAGAAAACTCTCTATTTTATTCGCATTTAATGTCACTTTTTTCGAAACGAGAATCAAACATCATATTTTATTGCACATTATCAATAAATTTTTGGAGATTTTATTACCTTTATTGCTAATTTTGGAAATCACTTTAATTTTATAATAAATTCATTTTTTTGTTTAAATATATTTTTAATTTTTTTAAATATAAATCAATTTTAATTGTTATAATATTTTAATTTTATTTGCTATAAAAATAAATAAAATTTTATATGTTTAAATTAACTAAATAAATTAAGAAATTAAAAAAAAAAAGTAAAAATTAAAATAATCTTAGTATTCTTTTTATTTTTTCTGTTTTTTATTTGATTAAATTAAATAAGTAATTATTCTATAAAAACTAATTGTATAAATTTACGCTTTAAAATAAAATTTTTTATTATATTTAAATAATTATATATTAATTTAATATTTATTTCTTAATAATTTTAATATAAGATCTGTTTTATTATAAAAATATAATTAATTATCATAAATTTATGTAAAAAAAAAATCACGTAAAATTATTAATTAATACATAATTTATATTAGATTATATATTATTTAAAAATAATATATATTAATTGAAAAATAACTTAATTTTTATGAATTAACAGTCTATAGTTTGATATTAAAATTTCTTTATGACTATTTTATATGAATAAAATATTTTTTATTAAAAAAAAATATATATATATAAATAAACTAAAAAATTAAAAAATAAACAAAAAGTGATTAAAAAAAAAAAAAAAAAAAAATTTTTTTTTCTTTAATAATGGCATTACCTTATAAAAAACTTAAAATAAATATTTTTTAAAGTAAAACTTTAGAATAAAAATCTTAATAAAAAGATGATAAAAACTATATAAATTACTAACAATTATAAAATCAGGCTATTTAAAAATAATAGATATAAAATTAAAAGAAACTTCACATAAAATTTTAAATTTCTAAAGATAATGAAATCGAAGAACGAATAAATAATTGGCTTGATTAAAATAATATTTTTATAGTAGACCCTTAATAATAATAATATTAATACTTTTAAAAAAACAAGCTATAGTTCATTTTGTTAATGCATGATGTAGATTCTTTTTCTTCTTCAAGCTTTGAATATGATAGTAACCTTTAATAAAGTCTCAATAAAATTAATTTTCAAGAATAGAAATAAATTAAATTAAATAATATTAAATTAAATTAAAAATTCTAATAAAGACTTAATAAAAATATGTTAGCTTCTTGAATTTTTATGAATATTTACTAATACTTATATATAAAAGAATATTTATTTTGCTATTTTGTCCTACCATAAAACCAACAAAATCAAATTTATAATATTAATAATGTATATATATTAATAAATACTATTTAAATCAGATAAACAAATTTTAAATAAATATTATAAATTGTTTAATTCATTAAATATATATTATATTATATTATATTATAATATATATATTTATATATGTAATTTATTAGATTATTTTATATTTCTAATATATATAAAAAATTTATGATTATAGTTTTATAAAATTGGAAATAATTTATGAAAAAAATTAATATTATTATTTTTAATTTTTTTCCATAAAATATTAAGTTATTTTATTAAATATTAATACAAAAAAAGCACTATTTTTTTTTTTTGACTGTAAAAAAAAAATAAGATAAATATAGAAAAATTATAATTTTAATTAAATTATGTTTTTTTAATTTAAAGCTTGTATTTTTTTAAAAAAAAATATATATTAAATACTAAAATTTCTCAATTATTTACATTTTATATATATATTTAATTGAAAAAAGTTATTTTAAACATTTGTAGAATATTTTTATGTTTAATCAGTTTTATTATATATTTAAAAAATTATATCTATAAAATTATCTTATAATTTAATTAATATTTTTACATAATATTTAAAAAATATAGATAATATTTTATTATATTATTTTATTTGTTTTATTTTTTTCTATTATTTGAATTAACTTACAATTAGTTTATTTACTTTATTTAAAAATAAGAAAAATCTTTAATTAATAATTCATAGCAAAAAAAACCTTAATATAAATTAAAACAAGTAATTAAAGCTATTTTTATTCGAAATAATAAAATATATTTATAATTGAATAAACATCTTCCTTTTTTAATTTAAGAATTGTATTATATTTAAATTATCTCAAATATTAATTTTGTATACAATTAAATATCAATAATTTATTATAAATTTATTAAAATAAAGTAAATTTACAAACATAAAAAACACAAGAAGAGCAAAAAAGTAAAAAAAAAAAATCTTATTCTTTTATAAATTAAATATATTATTTGTCAAACTAAAAATATTTTTTTTTTTTTTTATTCTTTAAAAAGCTATATAGTATAATACTCATTTTTATTATTCCAAATTTTAATTATAAAATATACTTGCTTTAGCGATTTTTTTAATTATTTTTTAATTAAGAGATTATTTTTATTATACATCGTCATTACTTTGTTTTCTATAATATTTTTTCTCAATTTAAGGTAGAACAAATTTCTCTTTTTAATTAACTTCTAAAGAAGGTTTCGAATTTTTATTTTTTGGTGTAGAAATAGCCGACTAACTTTATAAAAAATATTAATTATTATCTAAATTTTTATCCGGGACATAGCTTTAATTTCTAAACCGAGTATTAATTTTATCAGTGCTACTTTTATATTTACATTGTCCCTATTTAATATTAATAATTGGAATTTCGTTATTTTTTTTTTCTTTTCTTCTTAAATTAGAATCATTTATTTTTATTCTTCTTCTAATTCTATTTAAACTCTAATATTAAATATTTTTTTTTTTTTCATGAAAAAAATTTACATTTAATTATAACTCTCCCTCATCCATATATGATCTTATATTTCCTACATTGTAATTCTTTAATTTTAATCAACAATAAGCATTTTTTAATTAAATCTTATACACTTTTAGTCAATCTTTTTTTATCACTATTCTGAAATTCCCACTTTCCCTTCACTATATTTTCTTAAATAGCTTCTTTTTATTTTTAATTAAAAGGCGAATTTCCTGTCAAAATCCAGAATAAAATACATCCTAAAGCCCAAACATCAATACTAGGATGAGCTGGAGCATGACTTTTTATAACTTCAGGTGCTAAATATCTAACTGTACCAGCTTCAGTATAATCAATATTAATTAAAGATTATTTACCCGAAATACCAAAATCAACAACTTTAATAATTTTATGATTCTTTAATTGTATTAATATATAATAGAAATTAATATTTTTTTTGTTAAAATAAAACATTAATATATATTATATATTTTAAATTACTTAATCATTAAACATAATATTTTCTAATTTTAAATCTCTATGTATAATACCTTCTCTATGGCAATAATAAATTGCAGAATGTAATTAATAAAATAATTTTTAAGCCTCATCTTCTTTTATAATTTTACTATCATCTAAATACGATCTCAAATCTCCTCCATCTAAGTATTCCAAAATTAAAGCCACACTCATAGTTTTATGTAGAGTAAAACAATTATATACTTTTACAATATTATTATGGTTTAAATTTTTTAATGCAACTAATTCTTTGAATATCATTTCTGTTTCTTTTGCGTTTTCTTTTTTTTTTTTTTTTTTTAATAAAATAGATATTTATTTTACTTATTTTTTGCCATTCAATCATCTTTATTGCTACACATTATTTTGTTATTCTATTTTTTGCTTTATATACTTTCCCGAAACCTCCTTCTCCTAAAACTCTTATTATCTTATAAATAGCAAAGTTTGAACTTTCGTCGAACTCTTGGCCTTCCGAAACGTATAAAATATCATTATTTTTTATATATTAAACATCCTCATTTAATATTTCTATTCCCCCAACTTTAAAAACTCGAATTTAACCTTAAAAATCTTTACTTAATTACATATTTTCTATAATTATATTTTCTAATTAATCAAAATTTATATGTTATTTTATTAAGCAATTAATTATTTATGCTGGATCTCCATTTTTGACTAATTTTATTCTTCTCTTTTTTAAAATAATAAAGCTTTGTTTACATTTATTTTATTTGTTTTACTCGATCATCATAAATTGATTATTATTTATAAATAATTTAATCCATTTTTTTTTATTTACGTAGTAAAATATATTTATTTATTATATTGATTTATGCAAAAATTATATTTTTTAAAAATTAAATAAAATTTAATAAATTTCATTGACAAAATAATTGTTTCTTATATTCATTAATATATATATATATCTTTAAATATCTATATTAGTTTTTATTATTATATATTTTTTTAATAATTTATATATTATAAATATTAATCAGAATTTTATATATATAAGTGTATTAAATTAAATTATTTTTATATTTATTTAGAGTTTTAATTTTAGTTTTAATTTTTTAATTAAAATATAATTTTTTTATTTCAAATTAATTTATTAAAAGAAGAAAGTAATATTAATAAATAAAATTATTTAAAAAAAGCGCTAATACATATTTAATTTATTTCATTAAAATTTATTAATTTTTCTTTTTAAAAAATAAAAAAACTCTTATAATATACAAATCTTAAAAAACCAAACATTTTAATCATAAACAAAAAATATAAAAGCCTCTTTTTTTATTTTCTATTATTTTTTTACATGTTTTTATTATTTTAATTATTAACTTGTTTTATTTATAGATTTTTTTAATTTTTTGCTTTTTTCAAAAACACAATTAAAATAAACAAAAAGTTAATTTTAAAATTAGTTTTTTTTTTTTTTTTTTTTTTTTGAATAAATAATATTACAAATTCGTTAATTATTATTAATTAATTAGTTTTCAGATAATATTTTTAACATAAGATTTATTTTAGATAATTAATACATCCTTAAAGAAAATATCGTTTTTAATTTTTATTCAAAAAAGATTGTAATTTTATAAATATCATAAGCATATAAATTTAAAATCTTATTTTATAGGAAAATTAAATTTTCTATTATTTATCAAAGAAAAAAGGTCAAACTCAATATTTTTATTTTATTTTTAGGCTCTTACTAATCTTTATTTTCTAATAATTACTCTATTTATATTTACTTTAGTTTATATATATATTTAATTTATACTAAATTCATTTTTTTATGAAAATTTATATTAGTTTCTATTTTTTTATTAATAAAAAATCACTAAACGATTTTATATTTATTTTTTACATTTATGTGTTTTACCCATTTTCTCCCCTATTATTATTCATCCTCTATTTATTATCCAATATTAAAAACCTAATTGTTTTCCATCATAACTCTTAATTTTCAAAAACTCCTTAAAAATCTTTATTTTTATGAACTTTTTCTTCATATCATCCATCCTTATATTCCCAAATGAGTTATTAAAGCATTTTAAAATATTATTAATGTAAATACTTCTCTCTATTTAAAAAACTATTATTAACTAACCAAATTTAATGTGAATATTAATATTATACAAAAGTGTTACATTTTTTTAAAAAAAATTACATTCTTATGCAAATACAAATTTAATTAAATTAAAATTATTATTTTCAGTTTTTTTGTTTATATTCATTACAAATTTAATACATACAGACCTCCATAAAAATTGCAATATTTTATTCAAGGTTAGAGTCTATATTTTTCTAAAATATTCAGATTACAAAAATATTAATATTCCTTATTCTTAATATCAGTTGGATTTTTCTATTAAAGTAATGTTTTAATTTAGTCTTTATTTTAATTTTTTATTAAATTAGTATTTATAATTATTTTTTTATTATTTAGAGAGAATATTCTTTTAATTTTTATATTTCCAATTTTTTTATTTTAAAAACTAAAAATTTCCATATTTTTTTTTTTGATATATTAAAAATTAATATATTTTTTTTTTAAAAAAAAAAATAAAATATTTAACTAAAATAATAAGAAATTATTAAAAAAAACTAAAATAAATATTTATATAAAAATCATTTTTTTTCTTCTATGCAGCTTTATATTCGGCAACAATTTTATCTTATAACTCATGTCCTTTTCTATGTTTATGCTCTTTTCTCATTCTAATAATTTATTCATTACATTTATCAATAAATTCTTTTTTAAGATCTAATTCTTCAGCTTATTTTAACAATTCTTCAATAGTTATAATAACCTTCATAAATTCATCTAAATTATTCGACCATTCCGGAGTTATATATTTTGGAACTTTCTTTTTTGATTTTTTCGGTGGGGCTGCCAAAAGTTTTAAATCAGCAGGTTTTTTAGTAATAGGATCAAAAGGTTTTTAAGTTTTCCTATCTATATAAATCGGTTCTATATATTCAGGCCTAACTGGATAATCGCAAAATTATTTAAATATATCAGAACATTAAATAGACCTAGCCATTTTTCCTTTTAAAACTTCAGCATCATCTAAATAGTTTTACGCCACTCCTTTTTCTTTTGCCTTATTAATAAATAGAAAAATAAACACATATATAAATATATATATATAAATACAATATTAATTAGATTTTCTAAATTCTTCACTTATTCCGGATTACAATCTCCCCCGTCTATATTATCTAATTCAAATCTAAGATTTCTTTCCGAAACTAATCTATCAATTTACTATTACATTAACTCGAGTATATCTTAATCTAATTAAACACCTCTTTATTTAGCATTTTCCCTTATTTCTGCAATAATATTAGCACTTTTTAATATAGTTTTATAATTTTCAACTATTTTCAAAGAATTAATGAAATCTTTTATTTAATTTTAAGTTCTTAATCTTTCCTAAATAACCTTAGCTTCATTTAATAATTTTAAATCAATTTCAATTCCAAAATCTTCTATTTCTTATAATTTCTCACTTAAACCTTTATATTCATATTCTTTCATTTTATCCTTTAATCCTTCTGATTTTTATGCAATATTTTCCCAACAAGATATACATTTACCATCTAATCTTTCCTTTTCTTGGCTTTCATGTGTATCCCAACTCCATTCAATTCTATAAGCTTTATCACAAAAGAACTTTAGACAAGTAGAACACCAATGTTTTTTTATATAAGAATTAAATTCCTTTTATTTTCTTTTTTTTAATTTTATTTTTTTTTAATAAAAATTACTTCTCCTGTTTTTGCACAAGTTTTAGATTATTTATGGCTTTTAATTAACTCTTTTATATGTTCATTTGTTGCTAAATCATAAGCCTTATGTCCTCTAGAATTTAAAGCGTCAACTTCAACCCCTAACATCATATAACATTAAAAAACTTTAAGATCTCCACCACTAGCAGCTAAATGTACACAATTATTTCCAAAAGAATCAGTATCTTCCCAAGAAATACCTTTATTTAACAAAAGCCATACTATATTAATATTTCCTTTATAAGTAGACCATTATAAAGGCGATTATTTACATTAATTATTTATATGTCCTAATGTAGTTTTTTTATCCTATTAGTTTTCTTCTAAATAATATTTATGAGCATCATATGATAATAATAATCGAACTATATCTACATAGTTTTTACAACTTGCCCATACTAAAGGTGTCCATTTTTTTTTATCTTCTATATTTATATTTGAATATTGTTTTTTTTCTAATATTTTTTTTAAATCTTCTATTTGACCTTTTTAAGTTAAGTATAATAATTTTTCGTTTCCTTTTTTTTTCATTTATTCTTCGTCTTCTTCCTATTCTCCATCTTAATCAAGAATTTCGTTTTCTTCAAGTTTATCAGCCATTTTATTTTTTAACTTTTATATATTTATTTTTTTTTTGATTTTTTTTTTATTATTTTTTTCCCTATTTTTTTATAATTTTTTTTTTTTTTCTATTTTTTAACTGTTTCATATTTAATAAAAAAAATTACATAAAAATTTTATTTTTAATTTTATATTTTTAACTTATAATTTAATATTTTATTATAAAAAAGTTAAAAATTTAATTTGTTAAAAAAAAAAAAAAAATCTAAAAATTATAAAAAAAATGGAAATATAAGTAAACTTAAGTAATCAAAAATACTTAAAAAGTACTTCATTGCGTAATCCCGAGAAAATCATCGAATATAATAATTAAAAAAACAATATTTTTGAATAAAACAAAGCCCAGACATTAAAAGCTTCCAAAAGTCTCAACAAACACCAAAATCAGCCCTTTTAATAATAAATGTAATATATCTAGAACTTAATAATCAAAAAAAAGAATTAAAAAGTTTACAATTCAAATTAAAATTCTCCTAACAATAAATATTTAAATTTAATTTCTACAAATAATTCATATAAGAATATATATAAGAAAAAATTGAATTATTAAATGGAAATAAAAGACAGTTTTAAATAAAACAACAATTAATTAGTTGTTAAAGTTATAAATACAAGTTAAGAAAGCAAAAAAAATACTAATTCAAGAACCAAAAATAATTTTTATAGAGATGAAGAAAAAACCCATGAACTTAGAACAAAAATACTATAAATGTAAAAATTACACGAAGAAAATATTAATTCGATTATTAGGGATTAAATTTATTTATAAGAAAATAAGATTAGCTAAATATATAGTCTATATAAGAAAAAGATAAGTAAATTGAGGATATTTAAAAGCAGATATTGGACCTTAAGAATTTATTGGAGTAAAAAATAAGATTGTTTAATGTTTAAATACAAACTTAGATGAATTGAATGAAAAAAATAAACTTTTAAACGAATAAATAAATAATTTATAGGATAAAAATGCTGAATTTATTAACCAAAATTAAATTCTTTAAAAACAATTGGAAGAAAGTTAAAAAAATGAAAGGGAAATTTTATATATTTTAAAGGAAAATTAATAAAGTATTTAACAAATTTAATAAAAAAATAACGATTTTTAGGGCTAAATAATTATTTTGGAATAAAAAAATAAAGAATTTGAAAACAAAATTATTTTTTTTGAAAACCAAAAATTAACTTTGGATGAAAAAACGAGTTTTTTTGAACAAAAAAGTAAAGAATATGAATAATAAAAATCATATTTAGAAAATTAAATTAAATTATAGAATAATGAATATTTTGATTAAAAAAAATATCTTTAGGAAAAGATTAATTCTTTAGATTAATAAAATAATCTTTATTTGGAATAAAATAATAGTTTATAATAAAAAAATCAAATTTTAAAAGTAAAAAATGATTAATTTTAATAAAAAATCAACTTTTTAGAAGAAAATAATAATTAATTTTAAGATAAAAATATACAATTATAAGAAAAAAATATACAATTATAAGAAAAAAATAATCAATTTTAAGATAAAAATTATTAATTATAATAAAATAATATTGAATTAGTAGATAAAAATGAATAATTATTTAAAAAAAAATAAGAATATTAAGAAATATGTAATTCTTTGGAAAAAAAATAAAAGAATAAGAAAACACAATTTAATAAGTAACTAAAGACAAAGATTTATAATAAGTTTAAAAAATAAAAGAATAAGATTAATAATTAAAAGATTTATAAATAAAAATTTAAGAATTATAATAAAAAAATCTAAATATAGACCATTTTGATTTAAAAAATACTGAAATTTTAAAAGAAAATTAAGAACTCCAAGTACAACTAAAATAAAAAGAATTTAACTTAAAAGAAAATGAGAGAATAATAGAAGAAATAACATAAAAATTAGAATAATAAAATATATAAATAAATAAACTAAAATAAGAAAAGGAATAAATAAAAGTTACTTTTTAAGAAAAAATATTGTTAATAGAATAAAATCAAATATAAATTGAATAAATGTAAAATAAAGGATAATAAATATAATATTAAGATAAAGATTAGTATATATTTGAAATTAATACTTAATTAAATTAAGAAAGAATAAAAAAGTTAGAATATGAAGAAAAGCTTAATATATATCAAATAAATATTAATTAACTTAATTATACAATTTAATAATTATAAAAATAAAAAATTAAATAAGACAAATTATCTTAAACTGATATCGAAGATAAAAAAAGTATATCTTCTTCAGAAATTAAAGGCATAGAATTAAAAAATAACTCAAGTATAATTATTGATAATTAAAAAGATACTTCTTTAGTTAAAAATAATGACGAAGATAATAGTATTTAACTAAATTAATAAATTAAAAAATTAATTGAAGAGAAAAAAAGTATGCTTTAAGAGATTGAAGGACTAAAAAAAATAAATTAATTAAGAAAGTAAAATATTATATATATATATATATATATATATATATATATATATATATATATATATATATATATATATATATATATAAAATTTTTCTATAAATTAATTATAATATTATAATATTTTTATTTTAATAAAAGAAATAAAATTATTTTTTTTTATTTATATATAAATATATATATATATATTTTTTTTTTCTCATTTAAAATAAAAAGAAAATATCTAATAAAAACATATTTTATTTTAATTTTTTATTTATAATAAATTATTTATATAAAATTTTAAAAATTGAATTTATTTTTATATAATTCTTATAGAAAAGAATATAATGCGCTTCTTTAAGAATTAAAAAAGTAATAATATGATTAAATTTCTAATGATTTTTGAAAAATTTCCGTAATCTTTTACTTTATTAAAGATACAATATATCAATTAAATAAAAATTATTATAATAATATTTAAAAATAATAACTTTTAAACATAATAAATATTTCAATTTTTTTTTTTTATTTTAATATAAAAGTATAATAATGTTCATATAATATATCTTTAAATTGAATATTTTCATAATTTTTAACTATAAGAATAGAATGTTAATATATTATATTATATTATAAAAAATATAAAAAAGAGAGAATATCTTTAATTTTAATTTAACTGTAAAAAAAAAATATTTAAACTAAAATTTAAATAGTAAAGACAATATTATAATCTAAAAATGTATTTGAAATAATAAATATAAATTATTATTAAATAATAACCAATTTTAAAATTTTAATTTAAATATGATTTTAATCTAACAATTTTAATAATAATAATGTATATAACAATATTTGTAAATTAATAATGAGTTTATAGATAAATTTATAATTAATGATAGTAATTTTTTTGAAAATTTCAAATAACTTTGGTATTATTTTGGATATAAAATTAACAAAATATGATTAATTTTAATAAAAAATGTAATAATTTTATAAAAAGTACATAATTTAGTATTTTTTTATTTTTAAATAGAAAAAAATATCACTAAAAAATTTATTAAATTAAAATTTTTCTTATCATAGTTTGTTTAAAAAATCTATTTATCCTAATTAATAGAAATATTTTTTAAATTAATTTGAAAAGTGAAAATTTCATATATTATAATCAAAATTATTTTATTATAAATTTATCCTCTTTATATTTATCATAACAATTAAAAATAGATTAGTATTAATTAAACAATAAAAATATTAAATTTAAATTATTTTTTAAATAAACTAATATAAATAATAAGATTTATGAAAGTTTATATTATTACATTAAAAAAACATTAAAATATTTAAAATAAAATTAATTAATTATATTTATTTTAAATTTGAAATATTTATCTATTAAAAAGTTTTTTTTTTTTTTAAGTTTAAAAAATATTTTTTTTTTATTTTTTTTCATAAATAAAAAAAATTTTAGGGAAAAAAATATCTCTTTATATAGTAAAAAAAATCAACTTTTAAAAATCAAATTTTACTTAAATATATTCTATTTTTTTTTAATTTTAATATAATATAGTTTAAATGCGCTAAAAAATAATAATAATAAATAAAATCAAGCATTAAATTTATATAACAAAAAGATAAAAATAATAATCAAAATTAAAAAAAATTTTAAAAAAATAAAAACATGGTTTCTAAAAAATCAAAAATAATTTTTAAAAATAAATCTCAAATTTCTAAACACTTATATTGTTCAATATGCTATGATGTTTTCCGAAGACCAGTTTTAGTATCATGTTCTCATACCTTTTGTAAATAATGTATAGCTCTTTGGATGTTATAAAGAAAAGATTGTCCTATATGTAGAAAAAATTTACAGAAATAAGAAAAAACATAACCTAATTTAATCGCGAGCTCAATAATAGACGAAATTTAAGTATTATGTAGGGCAGAACCAAATTGTAAATGGGAAGGTTAATTATGTAATTTACAAAGTCATGTGAAAGAATGTAAATTTGTATAAGAATAATAAATTAAAAATGATGAAAATTATATAATTTTAATTGATGATGATACTGAAGAAGAAAAAGAATAAAAATCCTGCTAATTAATTTAAATTTAAGAAAATATGAGTAGTTTGATAATTATATAAGGAAATAACGAAAATAAATAAAAATAACAAACTATATATTTATATAATTAAGAATAAAATTCTATTATTGATTTTGAAAGCCAAAAATAATGATTTTTTTAAAAAAATTCTTAATTTTATTTTATTATTTTTTTGTTTGTTTCTCATTTTGTTAAAAAAAAAAAAAATTATTTATTTAATATATTTAATATATTATTATAATAAAAAATTGATTTTTCTTAAAAAAAATAATAAAAAATATGTTTTATTTATATATTTTTAATTTGATTAGATAAATTAATTATATTTTTTTTTTTTATTATATATACAAATACTCAATCAATAATTAATAAAACTTTAAATTATTATTATTTAAACTTTGTTTAATTTAATTTAAATAAGATATTTATTCGAATTAAATAAAAATTCATTTAAAAAGAATAATATTTAATAAAATAATTGTTAATTATATTTTATAATAATAAATAAAAATAATTTAAAAAATAGTATATAATATGTTATTTTTTTTTTTTCATAAATATGTGATTTATATAAATAATATTTAATAAATCAAGCAAATTTTTTATTAGAAATTAATTTTTATAAAATATTACTTAATTTTCTATTTTAAAAAATAATTATAGAAAAAAAATTACTAAATAATTAATTAAATAAACACTTAAAATTAAATATTGGTATAAATGTAAAAAAAAAATATATCAATTTTTTATTCTTATAAATATATTAATTATTATTATAGTTTTTTCATTATAAAAATTTTAATTTTAAAAATTAAATTTTTTTTTATTTATTTTGATTAACTTATATAAAAATATAATAAAAATATTAAAAAATATATATATATATAATAATATCTAAACAATTTTTTTATTAAAATAAGTATAAAAAATTATAATTTAAAATATAAAGTATATATTATTTTTCCCATCTAATATATATTTAATTAAATTAAAAAAATAATAATAAAAAAACTAAATTTATATATAAAAATTATCAAATATATATTAGATATTTTTTTATTATTATAAATAATAGCATTTTATCTCTAAAAAAATAATAAAACTAAAATTCATGGAGATTAACAAAATTTACTTATTTTTTAATCTTAACTAGCAAACAATTTTATATTATATAAATTTTTAGGGAACTATAAATTTTATTAATATTTTTTTTTTTTATTATAATAATTAAAAGGTTTTTCAATATTTTTATCTATAATTTATTATTTTTTTTTAATTTAATTTATAATAGGTAAACTTGGAATAGTCTCTTATTTGCTTTCTTACAAAATTTTAATTTTTTATGAATTTTACAAATTAGGTACCGAAGAAACTATTATATTTAATTCCGTTTGAGGTTAAATAGAAATCGATCTATATTTTTAATATAACTCATCATTTTAATTAAAGCTATCTATTTTTTTTTACAATTCATTTTTTTACAAAATATTAATACTAGAACAATTATACTACATATTATAGTTTTTCATCTTTATCTAATATATATCATTACTCGAGTTATTTATTTAAAAACCATTGCTTTTTTTCAGTATTTTTTTCTATAAAAATTACTTATTCCTATATTCTTAAAATAAATTGACATCATATTATGCTTTTGGTAATTATTTTTTTATGCAAATATTTAAAGGCTAGTTATTTTCTATTCTTATAGTATTCAAAAGCACATTTTTACTAGACATTTCATTTCCAATTTTCCAAAAATTCTTTAAAAACTCCAAAATTTAATCACAACAAGGCCTCTATTCAGGGTTTAGGTTTAACATTTTTTTAATAAAAAGGTTTAATTCTTAACTATAATTACTTGGGATGTCCTCAAAATATCCTTTAGAAATTTTCTTGGACAAATCTTCATTATCTTTAGATAAAAAAGGAGGTTTTAAGCAAGTCATTTCATATATTAAGCACCCTAATGACCATATATCACTTTTTTAATTATATGGTATATATTTCCAGACTTCAGGAGAAGAATAATTAGGAGTTCCAGTTTATGTATATAAGAATCCATACTTATTAATTTTCTTTGCAATATTCAAATCCGCAATAAAAATCTAATCTTACATTTTACTAAAAAATACATTGCTAGGTTTTAAATCTCTATGTATAATATTAACATCATGTAAAGCCTTTAAACCCAAAGTTAACTAATAAATATAATTCCAAATAGTTTTTTCTTCCAAAAACATATTCTTTTATTATAAAATTTATATTTTTTATCTCAAGTCTCCGCCTTCTCCAAAATTCATTATTATATATAATTCATTCATTTCTTCATTATATATTGCCTATTTAAATCTTATTATATACTCGTTTTTTATAGAAGCTAATATTCTGATTTCGTTTAATGCATTTTCCTGTTCTTTTTATGTTAATGTATTTAATTTAATACGTTTTAATGCATATATTTTATTGTCGGTTATTCGAAGAACTTTATATACAGTACTAAATGAACCTTTTCCTAATTTTTATTCTATTATAAAATCTTTTAAAACTTGAAGATTTATATTTAAAGAATTCTTTAGTTTAATTTTTTTCTCAAGTTTTTATTATAGTTTATTATATACATTTATTATTTTCATTTTATTTTATATATATTTATGTTTAAACAGTAAAATATTCTTTTATTTATTTTGATATTATAATTTTTTCTTTTTTTTATATATATATATTTAAATTTTTTATATGTCTATATATATATATTTTATATCTTATTCAATATATTTATTTTTCTTCAGAAATCTCCATTTCTTCTTTTTGTTCCCATATCGTTTCTGCATGTAGATATTTAGTTAATTTATTTTAATAATAATTCTTATTTTCATTATCACCTATAAATATATATATATATATTTATATATATATATATATTTATTAAAAAAAACCTTTTTTATTTCCTATAATTTATTGTTTATCTTCAGTTTGTAAAAATTCAAGAATTTCTTTTTAATAGTTTGAGTTTATAATATTTTTTAAATAATCAGAAAGTTATTTTTTTCTTAGTTATATTTCTTGTAAAGAAAGAACAGAATTTTTTTCTTTTTTTTTAGGAAAAATTGATTAATATTATTTAAATTTTTCATTATTGTTTAAAATTGCGAATTCTCTAAATGATTTTTTACAAACAAATTATTTTTGAGATTTTTTATTATTTAAAGAATATTTAATTTCATATACAATAGTTTTTTTCTAATATTTTATACTTTCTATAAACTTATCAATAGTAATATTTTCTATTTTTATATCCTAAAAATTATTATTATTTTCTAATTATAAAAGTTATTCTTTTATATTTTATTCTTGAATGTCAATTGTACTAGATTTTATACTTTCAATTTCATTCTTTTCATTAAAAGTATACTTATAATCCTTATCATATACACTTATATAGACTTAAAATAAGCTTTAAAATATTAAATACGTACTCATTAAATAAAATTATATATTTACTTAATCGTTATAATATTATTATTAATATATATTTTTGCTTGTAATTCCGTATATTATGGCATTTACTAATAGTCCTATTTATCCATTTAATTTTGTGAATTTATTTGTTATGCCTATACACTTTTTGTCTTAAAATATTGCATAATATTATGCCATATTAGAAAGTAGATTTGTTATATATATTTATAGAAGAATTATTTATGCATTTTATTATTATACAAAAATCAAAATTATTATTTGGGAAATGCTTATTAATATTATAATTAATTGTAGTATCTGCTTGATTAAAAATCTTAAGAATAAAAATTATCCGTTTTTATTTTAAAATAGTTTTTTCTTTTAAAATTTAGAAAAATTTAAATTAATAGGCGGATTGTATCTATAGGTAAAATCAGCTAAAACAAAAATATTGATAAACAATCGTAATCGTCATAATCGCAATAGATTTAAAACATATAAACTTTTAACTTTAATATATTATAAAATATCTAACTGTATGAATAATTATTTTTATTTTTATAAAAATTATTTTTTAGGATAAATAAAATATATATATGAGAAAAATATTTGTTTTTTATTTTTAATAAAGTATAATCTTTTTTATAAAAAAAATACATATTAATAAATAATGATAACACAAAAAATAAAAATATTAAGAAAAGATAAAAATATAAAAAAAATAAGATCATTTTTATTATAAGTTAATATCAAATCAAATTATTTTTTTATAAAAAAAAGTAGTAAATATTGTATTATATATATAAAAATAAATATATAAAAAATATATAAAATTAAAATAAATTAAAATTATATATATATAAAATATTTATTGAATTTAAAATCATAAAAATTTATTTGAATAATTTAAAATTGAATTAAATAAAAATGATAAAAAAAAAAATTTTCCTAAAATATAAAAAAATAAACTAATTATAATATAAAAATTATATTTCAAATTTTTTATTTTTAATATAATTCGATTTATAATTAATTATATATAAAAAAAATGTTTAAATATAAATATATGTGATAAATATAAATATCTATAAAAATATGTAAAAATAAATTTTTATATTAATTTTATATATATATATATAAATATATGAAAATAAGTGTATTGTTTATATAATCATATATATATGTAAATATATATATTTATTTATATATATATTAAAAAATATTTATATATATATATTTTTTTATTATTTTTTTTTTATTTTATTATATTTTTTTATTTATATATTTTATTATTATATTTTATT